CTTTTAATTGACAAATTTGAGTATATCTAGACCTGTCCTTGTCTAGAATCGCTGATGACACTCTTGCTTAAAACTGGAAGAGTTTCCCTCATCGTGATGCTTAGTGTGAAGGCTAAAAGCTGCACAAAGAGGCAAAGCAAAAGATCACTGATATATCAATTTTCCTACAAAAAACGAGAGGTGTTGTTGTTGAGAGTATCAAATTGCTGACCGTCGCGAATCCACAGCACATTATACTGAAACCTTTGAAATCAAATGGCGCGTGTTCTGACAGGAATAAAGCTGATTGGAAAAAAAAGAAAAAGAAAAAGAAAAAGAAAAGAGAGGAGTATTATTAAGCTGGAAATTGTTTAAACCAGGAACAAGTTTGGAAAAATGGAAACAGTAGGAGTAAGTACAATACCAGTTAGAGGAGTGAAGACAAATGGAGATATGATGCTAGCAAATGAACTTATGCCTGTGATACATCCCTGAGCCTTGCCCTGAGATAAGCATTGCTCTTCAGGCAACATAAATGAAGAATTTAGTTTAATAGAGCTTATCTACGAGAAAAATTGTACAGATTACCGTAAGTGGGGAGAAAGAAGTTCTAAGCAGTATAAAAGCATTAATACAAATAAAAGATTCAGAAATGATATGTTCTATCTAGTCTGCACCAGCAATGAACCATTCTACTATATCAAACTTCTAGCGTGGAGCACGCTAGCTATTTGTCGACAAAAGTATATCGGAAGGATGTCCTCATGATGGTCCATCTAAATAAGTTATTTTCTAAAGATAAGGCCAGTACCTGATTGATGAAAAACAGAACCAGATTGATGAAATATAAGCCAGCATAATCATTCAAAATTTGTTTAGTGTAAGTACCTGCTCAAAAGGTCCAACTTTTTTGGACACTGTGCTTCTTATCTGCATAAAAGATGAGAGGGACAATTAATGATAAACCTCTTTCTTTTTTGTTGGAACAAAAAGCAGAACCAATTCAAAGGTACTCAGTACTCACACATGGATTCACGAAAACGCTCATGACAATGAGCATTGCAGAAAAATAGGGAACCTGCAATTTAAAAAACCAAGATATGAAGGATTTCAGAATGAAACAGATATAATTCCATGATATTGACTGCATATAGAAATTAACATAAAGTTGATGAAAACTAATTATAAGGCTATATGACTATTAAAATGAAACAAACATAGTTCATTTTCTGGGTAATATATGTATTCACATTATCAAGGTCTCTGAGTTTCAAAATTTTGAAATGAATGTCACAGTTTCCCGAAACATAGTTCAGACTTGATGTTCTTTGGGGAAAAAAAAAAGGAAAAAAAAACTTTGGTATCATGTCATTGTGTGGACAGTAAGCATCAATATAATAACAAAAATAAGAATGAAACAACGAAGTGATTTTCATAGTTGACAGTCAGATCTAGAAGACAAGTAAAAGAGAAAATACAAATATAAGCGACCATCACCAATAAAAAGGGGAAAAATAAGAAAAAGAAAAAAAAAACGATATAGCATGCTCTTATTAGATGAATGAACTAATGGTAAATGCTGTGGGTGCTACTCATTCTCAGAACCATGTACAAAGAAGAGTTAATTGCGGATATTTACCCCCTGTACTATTGCTCAATTTCAATAGACACCCTATAGACTATAGTTATATTGTTGTGGATAGACCTCCAGAGTGATTTTTTTAATCTTCAGGAGGTCTACTTGCCAAAAATGGGAGAAAAACAATTTCCACTTTCTCTGAGGTAAAAGAATAAAAAAACATTTCACTCAGGGGTCTGCCTGCAACAATAGAGATGCAGGAGGTCTATCCACAATTGAGTGATAGCGCAAATGGTCCATCTGCAATTAACCTAGGAAAAAAAAAGAAACTTAGCTAGAAAAATTACCCAAGAGGCCCATGCGATGCTGTAAAGAAATACCTGCAGAAAATCGACACTAAAAAGTTACTGTCAATCGTAGCTACATGTGCGCAGCTCGCTAGGAGTCCAACACTAAGCAGCTTCTCCTCCCCTATAACTGGTGCTAGTGAGGGCATCACAAACAACTGCACATTAGATAGTCTTCAGTTTCAGAGGACTTACTAATTAGATGTCACATACGCGTGCGCGTGCACACGGTTTCTTTCGCATAGACCCCCCGTAATATCGATATTTTGCAGTTACTACCTGTGTAGTTTCATTGTTAATGCAGGATGCAGGTATACCTGCTGTGATATTTTTTTGACAAGTTTACCCTTAGTGAAACTTTGGCAAATATTGCCCCTAGGTGAAATTAATGAGTCTATCTGAGAGTAAAAGATTCAACAAAATTTAAACCAGGGGGTCTATCTGCAACAATGAAGCTGTATGGGTAGCAACTTCGAAACAGCTATGCTACAGGGGCTCGATGTGCAAGTAGCCCTGATAGACATCAACAAAGGTATTTACATAGATACAGCACAGAATAAAGTTCACAAGAGAAAATTAAAACTTATCAGAAGCATACCTGGGAGAAGGCACCTGCAATCCCAGATATCAGCAACAAATCGGCAAACTGGTCCTTGTTGAAGTGGAACTTTGCCTTCAAAAAGTACTGCATTAATTTATCGAGACGTTAGTGCTACACTAATGGTGATAATAAGCAGAGATAATGTTGCGTGCTTGGTTCGCAAGTATACTCTTAGGTTTTGTAGAGCTATCTTAAGCTGAAAATTGATTCACGCAAGAACATCTGGGTAATTTTACATCATAAATCTTTTTGAGTTGTTGAAGAACTCTTTGACTCATCTTTTGTGCTTAATTTTTCTGTACTCCCTTGATCAAATTTATTTTGTGAAAATACCAAAAAAGCAACTAGAATATTTTATCCATGTTAGGAAGAAAGAACCTACCAATATTGCAGCATGAAGGCCACTTTCACCAGCACTGCCAAAAAATGTTACTAGTGTTGCGCGCAATAAGGTCAAGCTGCGTGATGAATAAAAGTTTATTACATACGCGCATCCAAGATAACACAAAAAGAATTATTTGTTCATTTTCTGTGTCTTTTAAAGTTTGGGATTGTCCATTAATCTTGTTGTTATGCATTTCAATAAAAGATTATAATATGTACACCAAATTTTTTTTTCTTTGCTAAGATCTTAAAGATCAATCATCATCAGCCAAAGAAAAAATGAACAGCACTAAAAAATGTTTCCAAAGGGCTAAATAAATAGAAATTTGGACCATTTCTCGATTTGTACATGCCATACTTGTGAAAGGCCATGCTAATCTTCTCCGTATCGTTCCAATTTTATCAGATGTCTCGAAAAAGATTTTTTTAATGAAGATGCATGCAGATTATTCATTTAGAGGCGAAGTACTTCAATTATCAGGGAAAGATGCAATGCTTATAACTTGTGCCACTTTTCTCTGTTATCTAGAATGTTTTCATTATGTGTGATTTGTATATAATAAAAATACCTGCTCCTTAGAAGCCAGATCATATCTCTGAGTGAAGGGAACTTCTTTATGGGCAGTAAGTTAGGAGAATTTGCAGAATCAACATCTGAGGTAGGTGTTGGATGTAGAGGTTGCGAGAATTCATCGACAAGGGCAACTTCGCAGTTTGATTCGACAAGGAATAATCTCATGTACACAACTGCAAGCACTGCCACTGCCGCAGAGACCTAGGATGAACCAACAAAAGAAATGAGACAATAGGAATATCAAAGAGCAAATTTCACATAACCCCGCTAACTTGCGGGGCTTATCACACCCCTCCACCCACAAAATGTTTCCAGTTTTTTCTGACGTAATGTGAACGCATCTTCATAAATTTATAAATGTCACATAAAGAAGTGATACAAAGAGATAGGTAAAAACACCTGGAAGGTGTAGGAAGTTGGGAGGAAGCGAGCTGTGAGAGTTCCAGAGACAAATCCCGCAGCAGAGATGCCAGCAAGAATGCCAAATGCCGATGCTCTTTGACCCTCCGCCACTTTGTCTGCCTGCGTTGTAGTTAAGAAGAAGAGTATTTAGGAAGAAGAAGAAATGGGTGTAGGCAGGATTTGCATTTAGTTACTTTAGGAATTTAATAAATTGGATTCATGCCTCATTTATATCATATTTCACTAACATTTGAATATTGTCAGAGTTAATAATAAGAAGTATCAAAATTAATCAAATTTTATAATTTTATTATTTTCATGAAACGTGTCAAGTTATTGCATTAATACAGGATAGTCCCATAGTCAAAATATTTCAAATTGAAGACATAATTTGAGCATATTGCGTTGTTCGATAACCTAGTACTTCAAAAGTTAAATAATTTACTAGCTGACATAAACTACAATTCTTTGAGAATACAAGTATATTTTGTTTTATGTAAATTAGTTCATAGTTAGTCCAGAAGTCCAGGTGATTTGCAGGTAATTCTTGGTGCAATAGCATTGATATGAAAAAGCTGTCCTGGACGTAATTGTACGCCATGACAGACTACAGTTATAATCCTTACCGTTGACATCGAAAATTAAACCAAAGTGCATCTACATTCTAGCAATTTTGACATGAAATGATAACTCTTTGTCGTACAAATTAGTACATATAACTAGTGTCATCCTCAAGAATATCAGCAAAAATCTTTTCATAATTTGCCAATTCACTAGTTTATTGGAAAAATGTGGGCAGTCCGTTACCAAATAAGCGAGGCAAAGACACTGCATGCTACCATCACAAAACATGCCCGTAAGCATCTTGATGCCGTAGTATGCATAAAAGAACAGCCTCGACCGGTCATAAGCCAATATAACTGAAATCATAAGCAACAGTCAACACAAGATTTCTAGTTTTTTTTTTAAATTTTAGTGTCAATTTATAGGAACATTTGTAAAAACAAATATCAGAGAAAATGGGCAAACATATTCAAGGATCGCATGATACCATAATGGTATAGATCTAAACTTCAGCAACTTAGAACAAGTATTCTTGCATAATTCTTGAATGACTTACTAATTTAAATTTGTTAGTGGACACAACATTCATTATTAGTGAATGAATGAATTTACTAAGGATAATTCTTGAACAATTAAGGAGCATTCTTGGATGCTTATTCTCAGAGAAAGTACTCCTGGACAATTCTTGAAAACAAATTTCAGAGAAAATGGGCATTTCGATAGCGGGTTTTCTTCTTTAAGGTACATGAATAGAATCATTAGCTAAATAGAGAGTAAAATCCTGACTTATCCAAATAAACAGTCACTAGGGACGGCAAAAATGGACCCAAAACCAATTGCCCACCCATACCCACCCGCCAAATGAACCATCCAAACCCACTCATTTAGTTAAATCATACTCCCTTTAAAAGCACGAGTTCGGAAAATCTTTTTTAGACAAATATACCCCTTTATAGTTTGAACTACCTTATCTATAATCAAATTCTAATTTTCAATGGTCAATATTACCCTTCACTATTTTAAATATTTTATTTATATCTTAATCTATCCTAATCATAATCATATCTGATCCTAATCCTATGTGAACCATGTTTAGCTTAACAATTTAAAAAAACTAATATTAATAAAATATATAAAACATAAAAATGATATTAGTTTGTTAAGATAAAGAAATTACAAGTAGATAACATATTATAATACATGAAGTATTGCAAAAAAACCATAAAAAGTTTTAAAATTACAGAAAAGACCCTGAAAAGTTCAAAATTATAAAACTCATCCAAATGTCTCAAAACTTAAAATAAAAAACATGAAATTAATAAATTAACATCAGTTTGCAAAGAATTTAAAATTTACAGTTAACACCTCAATGTCTCAAAAATTATAGAAACACCCTCAAAAGTTTAAATTACAGACAAGCACATTAAAATTCTAAAATTTTAAAACTTACAAACAACACAGATGAATTCAAGAGATTACCATGATACACCTAAAATTTTTGACATTTAAATTTAAATTTTTTAATTAACACCCTCAATATCTCAAAAATTATAGAAACACATTTAAAAGTTTAAATTATAAAAAGCCACCCTAAAATTCTAAAATTTGTAAATAAAATAAGATGAATTCAAGATATTACCCTTAGACACCAAAAAATTAAAATTTGCCAAAATTAACCTCAAAATTTTTAAAAATCTCCTTCAAAATTTAAAAATCGTAAAAAAAAACTCTAAATTTTCAAAATTTTACACACATCAAATTCGTCGATTGGTAGACAGCTGAAATTTAATATTTTTCAAAATTAATCTATAGTTTTAATAATTGCAAAAGACACCCTCAAAATTTTAGAGTTACAAGAAATATACTAACATTTAAAAAATTACCACCAACACATGAAACATAGAATTTACAACTACCAAACTTAAAAGTAATTTTTTTTAAAAACTCTTTCAAAATTTTAAAAATTATAAATCACACCCTCAACGTTCAAAATGACAAAAATGGGCTAAAATTTTAAAACTTGGCAAAGAAAAGTGTAATTGTTTGGTATTTTTCATATATATATATATTAAAATTTCTAATTTAGGGATTTACTATCCATTTTCAGCATCTAAGAATAGTCTAAGTTGATACTGGTAAACAAAAACAATAAGAATTGATTAAAAACATCCGGTTAATGGATAAAATTTTTAAAAATATTATAGATTAAAAATTATCGGCACCATATAAATTAAAGTAATTTCATATAATTTTAGTAATAAGTTGGGGTAGCCAAAATACATTCGTAACATTAATTGATAGATGTTTAAATCCATAGAAATGATAAAACACTATAATATTATACCTTAGCATTAATTGATTTTAATTTAGAAACTTTAATCTTTGACGTTAATAATATTTATAGGGTAAAAGAATACAAGGAATTACATATGGAGAAACTATTAGAATATTTAGAGATAACTTTAAAAGAATTGAGTTATTTCCATTGCAAATGGGAAAGTGATGGAAATAAATCTAAAATTCAGAAAACGTCAATGAATCACTTGAATTGGCATTAACATAAGACATATCTATTAATGAAGCACTAAATGAGTTATATTAAAAAATAATTTAATAACTTTATCCTAATCAAAGAAAAAAAATCTCCATGGAAGACATAAGAAAAATTAGTAAGTATTCATAAATTCCATACTGTGTTCTTCAAATTAAATATTAATATTATAATCTAAGAGAAATTGGTAATGAATAATGCGGGTATTTAGTTTAGATCTTTATGAAAAATGACAGGGATAGAGCAAAAGTAATATTATTGAAATAACAGAAATTCTTATTGGATGCATATCAGAAGAATTTATTTTAGAGGAAAATAAAGAGATAGCTTCTAATTTATTTAAGTAATAAATTAGGAACACAAAGAATTTTATATATATGAAATTAATATTTATTCTCATTGAAATAGAAAAAAAATCAAAGTCTAATTTTGAGCAGTTTGTGTTGAACATCATAAGTACATTTGACTTCTTTGTAAAGTTAAATGAGATGATAAAAAATTAACGAGCCTAGGAAAGATAATAGCATAAAAAATACAAAATTAGCCTGATGTCACAATTGATGTAGATGATGAAGACAATACTCTAGAATTGTCCGAGAAATGATAAATGATAAACCTGAAGAAGGATTGATCTTAACTCAATAAAAAATAAAATAGAAGAAATAAAAACAATATTTTATGAATATTTTATAGAATAGTTTAATTATTTTGAGTGAAATTAGGAATCTTTAGAAGGGAGTTTCATGAATTTTTTTCAGTACTTTTATATTCTTATGTGGATGTTTTTATCATATAAAAGTATACTAGAGTTAGCATTAATCTTTAATTTATATTTTTTTATGAAGTCTATCAATGATTAGGAATAAACTTCATATTCTCTTTTGCATCGTTTTAACATACTTTAAATCAATCATTTTGCCATATTGGTTTTAAATATTCACCTTCCTTGTATAACACTATTTTAATATTTTTTACTTTGCAATGCTATACTTTCTCAAATAAAGCTTAGTTTCATATCGGTCAAAAATAATATGAAAATTCAAATTATTTTTAAATTATATTTGTTTTTTGTCAATTCAAATATCAACATAAAAATTTAAATTGGGTGTATCCCATTTAAACAAACATAAAAAAATAATCGTGATGTAAGAGTTTAAAGAAAAAAATGAGCACAAACTGCTAAAAATACTTAATCATTGTATTAAATCACGTGCATTGCACGCGTGTAAAACTAGTGAGCCATAAATGAGTAGGTATAGTTTCTATTAAAGATAAATGAGTCATTAATGGGTGGGTTATTACCCACCCATTTAACCGTTTAGATAGATATTATTTTAAAAACACCCTCAACGCTTAAACAATTACAAAACTTATTTTTAAAAGTTAAAAATTATAGAAAACACTTAAAATGTCTAATAACCCCTTAAAATTTTAAGATATGCAAAAAACACCCTCAAAGTTTAAAATATTATAAAAACGCCCTCAAGAGTTAAAAATTATAAAAAAACTATCAAAATTTTCTAACCTCACAGATGACACATGAAATTCAAAAATTACCAACAGCCCATGAATTTTTATAATTTGCAAAAACACCCTTAAAAGTTGTAGAAAATGAGAAAAACACCCTCAAGACTTTAAAATTACCAAACAATCTTAGAGTTTTCTAAACTTGCAAATGACATATGAAATCTAAAAAATTTCAATAGTCCCCTATAAATTTAAAATTTACAATTAACACCCTCAAAGTTTTAAATTTTTAGAAAAACACCCTCCATAGTTTAGAATTACAAAACCATCCTGAAATTTCAAAACCTACAAATGACACATGAAATCCAAAAATTACTAGCAACCCCCTGTAAATTTATAATTTACAAAAAGCACCATCAAAGTTTAAAAATTGCAAAAAGCACCCTCAAGAGTTCAAAACTACAAAACAATCTTAGAATTTTCTAAACTTGCAAATGACACATGAAATCTAAAAAATTTCGGTAGTCCCCTATAAATA